GAGGGGTTTGGGGGGGTTTATAGCGGATTTGGGGGATCCCCAGGGGTTTGGGGGGGGTTGGAGAGGAGTTTTGGGCATCCTGGGTGGGATTTGGGGAATTTTGGGTGGGATTTGGGGTATCTCCGGTAGAATTTTGAGAATCCCGGGTGGGATTTGGAGCTCCCGGGTGGGATTTTGGAGCTCCCGGGTGGGATTTGGAGCTCCCGGGTGGGATTTGGAGCTCCCGGGTGGGATTTGGAGCCCCCGGGTGGGATTTTAGAGCTCCCGGGTGGGATTTTGGAGCTCCCGGGTGGGATTTTGGAGCTCCCAGGTTGGGATTTTGGAGCCTCCGGGTGGGATTTGGAGCTCGCGGGTGGGATTTTGGGGGTCGCGGCTGCTCCATGGGGTGTGTCCGGGGGGTCGCAGGTGCCGGAGCTGGAGCTGACCCCCCTGCTCACCCCCGGGGCGCTGCCCCCCACCCTCGCCCACGGCACCCGGCGGCGCCTGTGGGACCCGATCCGGGCGGGGGGGCTGCGCCCGATGGGGCGGCAACACCTGCACCTGGCGGGGGGGCTGCCCGGGGACCCCGGGGTGCGCAGCGGTGAGTGACCCCCCCAAAAAACCCCCCCCAGGGACACCCCAAAACCCCCCAGGACCCCTCAGGACCCCCCAAAATCCCCCTCCCCACAGGGATGAGGTCGGACTCGGAGATCGCCATCATCATCGACGGCCCCCGGGCGCTGGCGGGTGAGGGGGGGTTCCCGATTTTTTGGGGGGTTCCCGATATTTGGGAGGGTCCCCGATGTTTGGGGGCCCCACCCGATGTCCGTGTGACCCCCCCGGACCCTCCCCCGCAGACGGGATCCCCTTTTTCCGCTCGGCCAACGGGGTGATCCTGACGCCGGGGGACGCCCAGGGCCGCATCCCCCCCAAATATTTCCTGCGGGTTCTGCAGCTGCGGCCGCACCGTGAGGGGGGGACCCCAAAATTGGGCAGGGTCGGGGGGAGGGGCTCAGGGGCTTTGGGGAGGACCCCGAAACTTGGAGGTGAAAAGGTTTGGGGGGATTATCCCGAAATTTGGGGTCTGGAGATGCCCGGGAGTTTGGGAGGGGACCCCAAAACTGGGGGAGTTGGGGGGGCTGAGGGGTTTTTGGGTGGACTCAGGATTTGGGGGGGGGCTCTGGGGGGTCCGCGGTTGGGAGGGGGAGGGTCAGGGGTTGGGGGGGGGTCCCGTTGCCATGGTAACAGCTCCCCTGTTCCCCCCCCCATAGGGTGTGAGCTACCACTGGACGGACCCTGGGACGAGGGCGGGGAGAGACCCCCGGACGAAGATTTGGGGATGGTCTGAGCCCCCTCCCCAAGGATTTGGGGGTCCGACCTCTCCCTCCATAAAGATTTTTGGGGGGGGGGGGTCCGAGCCCCCCGGGCCCCACAGACACCAATAAAGCCCCCCCGAGCAGCACGAGCGGGTCCTGAGCGTCACACGGCGGGGGTCAGCCCTCAGCGCCCCCTCCCCAAATAATACCCAGGGGGCTCAGGACCCCCCCACTCCATCCCAGTCCCCCCCAGTCCCTCCCAATCCCCCCCCAGTCCATCCCAGTCCCTCCCAATCCCCCCCAGTCCATCCCAGTCCCTCCCAGCTCGGATTTCACACAGAAAATCTCCTTTATTGCCGCGTCCGCCGGGATCGGGGACGGTACCGGTGGGCTCCCGCGGGGGTCCTGGGGGGGTTTGAGGGTCCTGGGGAGTGTCCCGGGGTTTTGGGGGTCCCGGGGGGTGTCCCGGGGTTTTGGGGGTCCCGGGGGGAGTTCCGGGGGTCCCTCAGCAGATCCCGCACGTTTCCCTGCGGCCGAAGCGGCGGCGCCGGGGGTCGAGGCTCCGCTCCAGCTCCTCATCCTCCTCCTGCGCCCTGCGGGGGTCGGGGGGTGTCGAGGAGGGCTGGACCCCCGGAAACCTCCCCGGGACCCCCCCGGGACCTCCCCGAGACTCCCCAGGATCCCCCCAAACCCTCCCCATCCACCCCAAGACCCCCGGACAGCCCCAAACCCCCCCAGGACCTCCCCGCGCCACCTCTGAAGTCCCTCCTGACACCCCCAAACCCCTCCCGGGACCCCTCAGGACCCCCCACAGATCCCCCGGGACCCCTCCCCGGTGTCCCCCGGTGTCCCCCCGTGTCCCCACCTGGTCTCGCGGCGGTGCCGGTCCCGCACCAGCCGGTCCCGCCGGTTCACCAGTGCCACCAGTTCCTCCAGTAAGAGCTGCTCGCGCTGGCGCTGGGCCGGGGGCTTCTGCCACTCTGGGGGCGTCCCCAAAAGGTCCCCAAAGGTCCCCAAAGCCCTCTGTCCCCCCCTGTGCTCGGCATCCGCCGTGCCCGTGTCCCCAAATGTCCCCAAGCGTTCCCGATGTTCCCCTGTCCCGCTCCACGGCCCCGCCGTGCCCTCCCCAAATGTCCCCAAATGTCCTCCTGTCCCCCGTCCTCAATGTCCCCACGCCGCCCTTTGTCCCCCCCGTCCTCCTCTGTCCCCGATGTGTTCATAGCGTCCCCCCCAATGTCCCAAATGTCACCAATGTCCCCAATGTCCCACCCTCTGTCCCCAGCATCCCCCAGCATCCCGTCCCCGTGTCCCCAATGTCCCGTCGATGTCCCCAGTGTCTCCCTGTCCCCAGTGTCCCCTGGATGTCCCCAGTGTCCCCTGGATGTCCCCTGGATGTCCCCAGGCTCGCACCCTCTGTCCCCAGCAGCCCCCGCAGTTCCCGGCTCAGGAGCTCGAAGCGCCGCTCCAGGTCCCGCTCCTGCGCCCTGGGGGTGACACGAGGGGACACAGGGGACAAGGAGGGGTCACCAGAGCTGGCAGAGCCCCCCCGCACCCCTCCAGTGTCCCCAGTGTCCCCTCGCGGCAGCCGGGGCCGGGGGAGGGAGCACAGGGAGGGGACAGAGGAGACACGGAGGGAGGATGGCGGTGTCCCCGCGCTGTCCCCCGCTGTCCCCGCGCTGGGGTGGCGCTGTCCCCGCGCTGTCCCCGCGGTGTCCCCACGCTGTCCCCTCACAGCAGCTGCAGCTGGTCCTGTCGCCGCACCAGCAAATTCCGCTGCTGCACCAGCGAGAACCAATCCCGGAGCAGCCGCTCCTCGCGGGCGGGGTCCGCGCCTGGGGACACGGGGACATTGTGGGGACATTGGGGACATCGGGGATATTGGGAACGTTGGGAACATCTGGGACATTTTGGGGACGTCGGGCACATTTTGGGGACACAGGGATGATGTGGGCCGCCTGTCCCCGGTGTCCTCCCCCTGTCCTCAATGTTCCTAATGTCCCCAGTGTCCCTCCTGTCCCCCCCAGTGTCCCCGGTGTCCCCTCACCGCTGTCCATCAGTGTCCGCAGTTCCCGCTCCAGCTCCGGGGCCTGCGCGTCCAGCCGGGCCTGCTCCTGCTCCAGGGCCACCAGCTCGGCCACCACCCACTGTCCCTGTCACCCACGGGGACACCCGTGTCACCCCAGGGACACCCGTGCCACCCCCGTGTCACCCCAGGGACACCCGTGTCACACCCGTCTCACCCCCCGGCACCCGCGGGGACACCCGTGTCACACCCGTGTCACCCCAGGGACACCCGTGCCACCCCCCGTGTCACCCCCGGGACACTCGTGTCACATCCGTGTCACCCGCGGGGACACCCGTGTCACTCCCTGGCACTCCCGGACCACCACCCACTGTCCCTGTCACTCCGGGGACACCCGTGTCACCGCCCGGCACCCCCGGGCCACCCCCTGTCCCCGTCACCCGCGGCTGTCCCCGTCCCCCCTCCCCCACCGCCCCCTCACGTGTCCCCAATGTCCCCCCAATGTCCCCCCAATGTCCCCCCAATGTCCCCCCTTACCCCGCTCTCCTCCTCGGGGGGCTCCGGGGGCTCCTCTGGGGTCTCTGGAGGGGGGAGGGGACACGGGGGTGACCCCGAATCCCCCCCCGGGGGGGTCCCACGGCCACGCCCCCCCCTCGCCCCCTCCCCCCAGCGCTCACCGGAGGGGGGAGGGGCGGGGGGGGTCCCGACGTCACCCTGGGGAGAGGGGGGAGGATCAGAGACCCCCACAATGGGGGGGGTCTCACCTTGGGGGTCCCAGGGTGGTCTTGGAGGGGGGGGGTCTCACCTTTTTTGGGGGGTCCCGACCCCTCCCCGAGCGCCGCAGGTCGGGGTCCCTCAGGCGGGGGAGGCTCCTGGAGCGGGGGGGGGGCGTGGGGAGACCCCTCCCCACCCCCACGGGCCGGGGCAGGCGGGGGGGGGCCCCGGGGCCGGCCGCC